TATCACGACGAATAATTACTTGCTTGGTGTTAACCGTTCAGTGATATAAGGATGATATATATAAACCACGAACAACATAAGCCACAATATTGCATAAAACTTAACATACATTGCTCTAATCGTTCATTGTAGACAATATTTTCTGGCGGTCCGACTAGAAACGAACTAAGTCTTCATCAAAGAAAATTATAGAGGCATTGGAACGATAGAAAGTGTTTGAATTGAATTTTGGGTTCTTTCCAGACTAACCACGACCACCATATATCAATCATAATTAAACATAACACCGCTTTGAAAACCTTTTGGTTAGCAATGGGACGATTTGGGTTTGATTCACAACCTTTACTGCGTACTGAAGATAAAGATTCTTAAAGTCAATTTGTGCACAAACATCTCAGTTTCAATTGGTTAAGGAAAAATACAGACATATAAGAATCAAGTGAGTCTGCCTGAATCAAGTTTTAGTATCTTTTCAGTCGTTGCTAAATCCATGGAGTGCCAAGGAACAATACTGTCTGCTTTGATGTCCAATTCGACACTTAAATAATTATCGTTGGGCTTACTCTATTAGTGGATTGAATTTCCAGCACGCAATATATTGACATCACGCGATGGGTGTGGTGTCTGCGATGTTATTTTAAGACAATCAAAAAAGCAAGATGTCTTTGTCACTACGTCTTGTTGAAGTTTTTAAACTATCAATCATGTTATCATGGCTTAATGTGAAAGACCACTCACTAGTTGAAATGTAAATAATATTCAACACCGAGCAATTACAAATTACTAGTTGTCATGAAAAAGAGAAAATTGTCAGTGCTCTATAAGTTTAGCGTGGGGGAATATATTATAAAGAGACAAGAAAGAAAACAAATGTATACAATTGAATTTTTGAATTTTGAATGCCCACGGCCATACTGGGATTCGAGCCTTTGACACTACAAAATGGAAAAATAATTGTGACGACTCCCCGAGACATTCTGTGACAAATAAGACTTCGAATTGATTTACACAGTTTAACTAGCCATCGCGTGCAACGCAGCTGCGCAAGTCGTCGTGTGGCAGGGCTGTTAACAATAGTTACAGCAATTGTAGTTTTACGTAGCTAGGTTGCAGGCAATGTTGTGCAGTCTACATTAACGTTGTTTACTCTTGTAAAGACTTAAAGACAACTACAAAATCATTTACGTAAATGGATTTTTAATACTTTCAGGAAGAATTGTAATTCTAAACTTTAAATAAATAGTGAATTAAATGTTATTGACATTGTAAAGAAGTTTCGGAACTTTATGTTGAATATTCTTGCAAAGAAATTAAAAGTATGATATATGCGAATGACTTGTTGTTGTATTGATGTCTTTAACAATGTTAATTGGATTGACTGTGTTTCGGACTTTTATAGAGATTTTGGTTCTTCACTGCGAGAGAAAAACTCCACTAAGACCATGGATAATTAACCCCTTGCACTAACTAGGCAACTATTCAAAATATAATGTCAAATTAGGACAATTCTCTTTTATTATGTAAATGAGCACAGGACTGCGGGGAAGTCTTTAGGTCGTTGGATTTTGAATCCGAAGGAAACTAGAAGTCACGGGATCCATTCTATATTTCTTTCCTCAGTCTTTTTTTCTTTCGGGATGTTTCTCATTGTAGAATATTTCTTTTTTTGTTTTCCTTCAGTATTTCGTACTTTCTTTTCTCTTTTTTCTTGAAATAAGTATGTTTTCTAGTACATTTATATTCTTGGCTCCTTGTCGATTAATTACTTTGAAAGAAAATGGCCAGAATCGGCAAAGTAGGCTTCAACTTTTCTCATGTTATTCTTTCTTTGGTGACGTCATGTTGAGCTTATGGGATCCCTGTCGCATCGTTGTTTTGACTTGCGATCACTGGTAGTAACGAAAATGCACAGTGATTGGTTCTTATGCTTTAGACTCACCTGTCATTTCAAGACAGAATACCCATCGATGGCTATTTGCATACTAAGAGAACAAAAATACATCAAACGGAACCAATCTTAGCGTTACGAGACGTACGCTTTAGCCAAATCCTTGTAATAATTTATTCTTTTTAATGATATTTTAATCTTCTCTGTCAATTTTTTTTGGTTTACGTTGCGACTCTATTTGAAGCATTCAAGATATTTGAAGTATTAGGTATATGTCATTGTAAAGTAGAGAGTTATTTTAGAAACTCATCGTAGCATGATGGACAACGACTTTACCTTGCGTACTACGATATGACAAAGGTGAGTTTTTTATGATATATCTTATTAACTAGGTCTTGAACGAATATGAGTAGTTAATGYGATGTCTTGAGCACTATCGCGTTCACTATAGACGTCTCTATAGTCAGTGGTTCACCGACGAACACAAGGGAGGGTCGTTGGTTGAAATATATAAGCATTTTGTAAACTATCAACCGCTGAGTGAATGTAAGACCCTATGAAGTTCCCCGAAACCGCATTTAAAACTCTTTTTGAAACTAAAAAGACACAATCTTTTTGTCTATGTGTCTGAGATAGTGACGTGTTTTTGCACCTGAGAGGTATAACATGAGTTTTATTGTGTTTTTTATGTCAAAAGAAATTACTTATTTTCAATCTTACACATAGTCTTTTTATTCAGGAAAAGCATTGTACATGATCAAGGAAACAGCTTCAAAATGATGCGGCAAGCGAGTGTAGAGGATAACTACGACTATCTATTTAAAATCGTACTTATTGGAGACTCGGGAGTTGGAAAATCGAATTTATTATCTCGCTACACAAGAAACGAATTTCATTTGGGTTCAAAAGCAACTATTGGCGTTGAATTAGCTCATAAGAATGTAGATGTGGATGGAAAAAATATTCGCGCACAGATCTGGGATACAGCTGGTAAGAATTGATATATATATGACAATAAACAAGCCTATCGTACAAGTATTTGAATATTATATGGCTGACCGATTACAAAACAACTTTACTGGAATAAATGAATTTCAATTTATGTTAAAAACATCCACTTATATTCGCTGCTTGAACGCTTTCMTTCAACATGGCAAAAGTTTAATAGGAAAATGAATCGAGTATGTRATGATACATATTCCAAAATAGCTGTCTGAATTTACGGATACGTATTCTATTACAGTTTTATTATGGTCGTCAGTTTGCCTGGCAACAGGAACTGGGTTGGGGATTAAGCAACTAGCCCTTAACTATATAGAACCTTTTTTTTTCTTTTACTTCCTAAATTGTACACATTTAATAGGGCTTTTAAAATGTGTGTTTATTCGTGTGGAATCCTCTGTACTTTGTTTCTACCCAAAACATCAATCTTTGTTTGTGTAAACGGAAGTAAAATAAAGTGTTTACTCTTGTGGCATAACACAAAYAATTAAAGTATTAGCCAMAAAAGCAGAAACRTTCACAYGGCAATGCCGAAGGTTKTACCATGTCAGTTATAAAAGAAAGTAAAATCAACAWAAGGAAATACTTCACTAAAAGCCTGCAGCAATGATGAGTCAAAAAATATTCTTAAAAAACAGTCGATAATAAAATGTAATAGGAACCAAAACAATCAAACAACTCACTAAGTGTACTGGAAGAAGAGACACAGGAAACCCAAAGGAAAATTCTAATGTTTCTGAGGTCAACTGTGYGAGATTGCAATAAATGTTTTGGTTTGAACACATGAATTGCATCTATAATGTTATGTTCATATTATATTTTAGGTCAAGAGAGATACCGGGCCATMACMAGTGCTTATTACCGTGGGGCTCTAGGAGCTGTTYTAGTGTAYGACATCGCCAAGGGAACATCATTTTTAAACCTGGATAAATGGATACAAGAATTGCAACARCATGCAAGCGACGACTTATCTGTGATATTAGTAGGAAATAAACAGGACTTAAAGCATCTAAGAATGATTGAAGCCCGGAGAGGCAAGCAGTTCGCTGCAGATCATGGTATGTTATTCATGGAAACATCGGCTTTAGATTCAACRAACGTTACCGAAGCTTTCGAGTTCATATTTCGCCATATTTATGATAAGGTCAGAGCTAAAGAGCAGGAGAAAGCTGGGCAGATACTTCAGCAAAGCAATGGTTCATTGGATGTTATAAAGCCTGTTGAGCTTAAACCTGAAGCTAATCAAACGCGTCCTGCAAAGCAGCCATGTTGCTCGACTGTCTAGCTATGTCTATRGTCAAGAACAGTGCTTTTCATCTACGGTACAGATGTGAAATAGTAATTTTATAAAAGATATCCATGGGCTTACAATATTAGAATTTAATGCAGTATTATAAAAAAGCGCCTCCAAGATGTTGACTAAAAAGATAATAGACTGAGTTATCTCCTTAACGGATTCACTGAAATCTAATCTTAAAGATGGCTACTGTTATCGATCGCCCACATACAGGGATATAGTTTAATAAGTACAGTAAATAATGTATATCATTAGGAATATGGATACAATACTCATAAAGAAAATCCATCTATCTTAGTAAATACACTGATCATTTCAGTAATAAAGTRAATACAATTCATGTCTTAAAAGCCATGTGGGATGAGCTCAGAAAATATCTTCGAGCATGCGCAATAGACTCTTTGCTCGGCATATCTGATTGGACGAGAGGATTCTCGGCAGGATATCGATGTCTATTACCGGCTAAAGTTAGTCCTGCAATGAAGATATAAGTTGGGGGGTCCGCCATTTTAATTAAAATTATGAAATAACTCATTTATGGAATTATGGATCGAAATATTCGTTTTAAACGCATATGAGGCGGGTTTATCGATTATCGATTAAGAATAAAGATCCGATAATTGATGAAATTCATTAAAATGTTGCAGATCCTCAAAATTGAGATATAGTTGGGCTATGATTTCGTTATCGCGACACCTATATAGTCCATATTTTCTGACCAAAACAGATTTTCAAGGAGGTTTTGCTGCCTACTTTTCAAAGATTATCAGAGTTTCAGAGAATTGTTCGTCTGAGCTTCATTTCGGTAAACTTCAAAGCAAGAAAACTGCCATTGCAGAACCACGCGACGGCCTTGGGATCATTCTCGATATTACCCATATAGATACCATTCAAGTTAGAATCGAGACACCTATTGTACCACCACCCGCCATGRAAATATTCAGCACAATTGAAATCTGAGTATGAATCGTGATCCTGATCATTTGTCGAGAAGGGAATCCCGTTATGTGAGTAAAGAGAGTCTCGTACTGTGCCTTTAAACGACGAAATGCTRAGCGCATAATTATCAGCGGTACTCCTAACCGTGAATATATCGTATTTAGCATATCTATTGTTAAGAGCCCARTCCTGGAGATCGACTCTTAAGCTTGCCGATTTTCTTGTCAATAGGTGGAGCTTTTCGTTTCCTAACCAAAACTCGCCAGACAGGTTTCCAAAACCTGTTGTGTAGTTCGCCCAGTTACGATAAAAATCCTCGGATCCGTCTTGTCGTCTTTGGAACACAGTCCACCCCCCACCGTCTGTTGTCATGTCACAATAGACGTAGAATGGACTGGTCTCGTCGGGGTTTATAGAGTATATACCATTGATATGTTTTTTACCGAAATGATACCACTCAAAGCAATCTGAAAAATATAATGAAATAAAATTTCAATAGTGTTGAAATACCGAAAACAACAGCAAAGAAAATCGTGGAAAATAAGCATGAAAAGTGTAATGATTTCACGGTTTTCTGAAAAAAAAATCCAATACACTGAGAACGTCGAATCTCAATTCAAGGGGATGAGCTGTAAGCAGAATATAAAGACTGGAGTAATTTGCATTGCATTTGGAACTTGCAAAGTTCGACGTTTGAGTCAGACCTTACTTTATTGGGGTACGCACAGGCAAAGCATATCAAAGTACAAAGAAAGATGGCATCGRTGTCTGGACTGTTGGTGTGAAACATTACAACTTATATTATGTTCCAYTGGTTACAGTTTTTATTTGTGTATGATAATGTCTTGGTGTCTCTAGATTCTGTAAAATTCATACCTCGGCATGCAGTGAGGTTGTAAAATCGTTTCTCCAGAGATGTTCCGTTGCATAAATTCTTAGATTGTGTGGTACTGCAGTTTCGAATGCGATGCTGTGTGCCATGRCCACATATGATGTTGTGCGGTTCCCAGGACGTCCATCCAGACCACGAAAAAACTGTTGCAAAAACATGCATTTTTAAAGCTGTTTTGAAAATAAAATATTGTGGGCGAATACTGAGATATGATTTACACAGTAAAGTGGTAAATCGACCAAAATCTCTAGTCAGCTCAAGTTTAGTGGGGAAAGCAACGGAATGAAGGGAAAAGAAACATGTACAGAATCTTAAAGTWAAATGAAAGCACACAAGTAGCAAGGAAATCGACATTTGCTGATACCTCACCTGGTTTAGCTGTTGCTGTTGCGCTTGTCTGAGAGGGAAAATTCTCCTTAGCTTTCGTCTTTGTTCTTGACGTTGTTTCTATCGTTTTCTGTTGCTGGGAAGTCGTCGGCTTTGGTGTTATTTCGCCAAGATAAAATTGATTGCCTTACAAATGACAATATAAAACACAAGCAAATAAAATAATTTATTTGCACGCGCTAGAGTAAATACTCTGTCAGCAGATCTGTTTGCGCGCGGACGTTAACTATTGCATCCAGCAAGATTGCAGTCAAAACTCTTGCAACGAGATGTGTGCAGTGTAATAGTYATGGGTAACTTACCATTTTGAGTCCTGTTTTCTTTGTGTTCTGTGATAGGAATGATAATTGCAGTAAGAAGTAAGATTATACTGCAAGAAATCGATATGATAACAATGGCCTTGCAGCGACGTCTACGAAGAGACCCGCTTTGTACACTGACTTCATAAGTCAMAGCATAATTTTTCTGTGGTTGCTTGTTAGCAATGCCTTTCATTCTTCAACAAACAGCAGTGCTAAGCCTCTAGTTCTTGGAAAATAACTCAGTGTTGGACGTCGAAAAGACTGCTGTTAAAACAATTCAGAAATTTGTTTGTTTATTCAATTGTATATRTGAATTAAAAACTGACAAATCTAACTTGAGAGTGAAAATATTACAGGATTTTATGGCAATTATGTGAATTTTTTTCAGTCCTCAAAAATGCAGTAACGGAGAAGAAAAAACTGATGAATATAGCCTATTGACCAAAGACAATTAGAATAATATTTTGAAGAAAAATATATCGTTTTATAAAGAAAGAAATAGGTTTATTTTTTAATTATATGTTACCCATATTAAACGAAAAGAGAATCTCATACTGGCCCCTTATTCAGCTTAACAATCGATACTTGCGATTCATGGGAATAAGGTTCCATCTTTGGGACAAGATGGATTCTAATTCACAAAAGACCGATAATCTCGGTTTTATCCCCTAGGATGCTGCTGCATGGAGCTCACATGGAAGTCTGTAAAAATGCACTTGCAAGTTATGGTGACAGAAAGGCCTTAGTCGTCGATAATTCCATATTTTCATTGATTCTCATTATGACCTGAGTCTAAAATCTAAAGTCACACTACCATTTAGTATCTAAATGTCTAGCAAATTGTTATTCATATTTTCATCTTGTAGACATGTTTATTTACTTGATTGCCATGWCAACTAGTTAGCTCAATGCCTTGTCATTCAACATCTTGTTATAGTTCCCTCAAAGGTTTTATAACCTTTATATCCATGGTAACCGGGATAGCCAGCAACAATTSCTACCATATCCAACCAATTGACTTCCCCCTCGATATTAAGATCATATGTACCAGGAGATAGCCTCTTTGCGATGGAAAACACTCGAGTTTGAGTTACATCTGAATCTGAATTCTTCTTGATAACCATTTGAATGCAGGATTTCTGTTCGTCATTTAAATATATTTTAATTGACAATGGCTTTTCGTTTCGTATTTGGAAGACTACAGAAAGTGATCGTGGTGAAGTGTCTGGTGGTATAGTGAACTTTCCAGTAAATGCAATTGGTCCTGGACCGGCTTCCCAACCAGAAGGGGCGTCTGTACGAATTGTTCCTACCCATCGCGCTTGCTTGGGTGATCGGTACTTAAAACCATATGATTTAATTACCTGGACATTCAACGTTTGTCTCAGAGGTAGTTTCCAGTTACTTGTCATGTGTGACCAGCACAAAGGCTTATTTAATTCATTATCATTTATCGACYTGTCAGTGAATAGTGGTTTAGGAAGCGATGGTACTTTTTCCAGATTTCCTGGCACATTACCAGGCTTGTTAAAAATCGATGTCTTGAGATATTTGATGATCATTGATGCTATTTTCAWATGTCCAGCGCTGCTTGTATGAGAACCATCATTAGCAAACATGTCACTTTTAGATTCATCTAATACTCTTTTCCCATTGGTCAATGGGCATACAATATCTCTCATACTAAATGATGGTATCCTGTAATGTTTTGCTAACTCATCGAAACCCATATCTTGCATATTTGAACACTTCCTATTGGTTACTCTGCCTGTAAGCATATCCGGGTTGACTAGATTCACATAAATAACTACAGTGTTTGTTGGTAGAAGCAGTAGTCTTCGAGTAAGTACCTCCATAGGTTGGGCCGCTTTTCCATGCTCATCACCGCTATCATTAATAGCAAACTCAAGCATTACAATATCAGGGTTGGTTTTGTTTTCTAAAAAGTTTTGAAAGCAAAATGTAAAGAAATCACTCCCCGTCCCTGTGATAGCCATACTGTATGCATTCATTCTTGATTTGGTTGATTTATAAACATTGTTGTTCCACCAGTCGGCCACAAGCTCAAAGTATCTCTTATCGTTCATGGACAGGCCCCCACCAGCAGTGTTTGAGCCACCCAAAGCAACCATCGTTAGTTTATGTCCGTTTTGTATCTTTTCTAGAAGACTTTGATAACCAGGAAACATTTGGTTAGATGCCCTTGACGACCTGTGTTTGAAATGAAGAGATATTCACTTATGCAGCCTTTGAGAATCGATTGATACGCGGTTAGTCTGATAGAGCTAGTATCTCTCGTCGACTAAGCAAAAATTGCTCTTGTTGCGCAAATTGGTGTTTCGATAGAGAAGAGCGTGCGAGCCATCAAGATAGAGATATTTTTCGCGACAATAGCACTTCAAAAATCGCCGGTGTGCATCGTCCWTCATTTGAAAGCCAGACTAAACTAATCTCGCTCTATCTATCATTGTTCAGAAAAAAACAACAACAAACAAGCCTAACAAAGACCGATGCTATCRATTTCTGCCCTTAAGTGTATAAAATAACAGAATGAAACATAAACATTAGTTTGACTGTAACTAATCATCTAAAACTGGTATTGCGGGTATCTTCAAGTACTCTTTAAGCTTAAAAAAGATCTATATATCGAATCGGATTTCACTTCGATGATTGTTAGTGTATTTAAAGAGAACAGATTTTATGGCTGCATTTTCTACGGGCATTTTTCCTTTTAGTTTCAATCGAGGCTCGTTTGATTAATGAACCTGCAAAGGATTCTTCTACGATGGTATAGCGTCTATGATACGGCAGTTTTTTTGTTCGTGATGTCCAAAAAAAAGTTTAATTTCAATTGATTAGTCTATTCAAAGTGAGCACTAAATTTTTAGGCTACTGTTTATAACCTGGCTTGGTATTTTTGTAACCTTTTGTAACCTTACCTTTTCATTTGAGTAATTTGTCTTTCCACCTTTCTGTGAGTCATGATTTTGGATGTATTGATGCCCACAGACGTTCGAGTTGGTTGGACCAAATTTACGTAAAAATGGAAGAAAATACTCAAGCAAAGCAAAAAAGATATTCGAAAATTCATTTTCAAGATGAGGCAACAGTGATTTTTTTAATCTGAATGACCATTGTTGGGAAGCATTTTAATACTGTGAAGGCAACCGGTCGAGAGCAAATTAAAACACTTCGTACACCTGTTGAGCTGTGATTTATTGAAATGGTGACAAATTAATATGTCATTACTATCACATAGTTGTTGGCTTGAACTTTTATTGCCTATTATATCAAAACTATTAGAAAAACGAGATGCAGGTAGAAAAATTTCTCGGGCCTCTTTAACTTAATAATATCAACAATTCTTTTTTAATTACGATTCATTTCAATGTATTACCTATGGTTCAAGTATTTTAAAAAGTAGGTTTGAAGTAGCTCTCTCAGCAGGCGCCTATCYTTCTCTTCKCTCTTTTTTTCTTTTCTTGGGCTTCCTGTATCCATCCWACTGTAGCAGGCGTTCCTTGTGAGTCGTTTAAGTTGAAAAGAKAATAGAAAATCTCTGGAAAAAAGAAAACGAAGTGACAACAGCAAAGAAAACGAAGAAAAGAAAAAGAAACAAAAAGAAAGAAGAAAATAAAACAAGAAACAAACGAAAAAGAAACAATTCACAAGCAAAAAAGAGAAACTCCAGCAGCAGGATTTGAACTCAGAACTTTCACTTCAGAAGAATAATAAACTTTATTGGAAGACGTAACCCCCCCTGGCATACATACGAAATAATGAAAATAAAAAACTAAAAAGTTGGGACGATTCCCCCGAGACATTCTATGAAGCTGAGGCGGCGAATCGGCTTACGTTACGGTTAGAGATTTCGGCCCTTCCACGCTATCCCGAGTGAACATAAAACTTAGTCTTAGCCAAAAGGCCAGGGAGTGAGGGGGTAGCCGCCCACTAGAGCATACCTTTAGCTACCCTCTTAGACCATCGTACTATGAAGACACTTAACGTATTTAATATCTAATTGGGGTAGTCTATTCGGTGAACTTCTATGCTAATATATGACGTCACCTAAATCCTTAGGGAGTAGCGAGCCAATCAGAACTCAGCTTACGAATAAGCAAACGATACAGGCTTTGCATAATCATTCTTCAGTGGATTTATTGTTTGACGGGGGTGGGGATGGGGATTTATTATTTGACGGGGTGGGGATGAGGCTGAATACCGATGTTGGCATGTAATGTGACGGCTTTCACCAAGCTGTTCATGAATTGTCGTTATTGTTTTTCAAATCATCACATTTTAAATTAGTTGTACAGTTCTTATATCAGACAGGTATTWCTAGTATTCGATCGATAAACAGCACAAAAATCTCTTGAAATTCTTAACRTAAGTGGTTTAGAGATCGGGCAGATACTAGCTGTTGCCAAATTCAGTTTTGCCGGGAATAAAAGATCTCTGAAACTCCAACAATACACTCGAACGTTCCACATTTTCGTTCTTTATGATATAAAAGTTTACTAGTATTGATTATTTACTAATATTGATTATCAAATAATTATTGAATATAAACTAGCGAATGTAAATAATTGAAGAGGATGAATGATAATCCGTATAAAATTAATAAAGAAATGAAGGCAAACATTCGGTTTTAWTGCAAAACTATAATCAGGCGAATTATAGTCTAAACATACAGTTTAAATAATACAAACAATTTATCGAAGAAAACGTTCGAGAATTTATCATGAGTTTATAAGTCAACAGGTACAGAAAGATGTCTTTGACTACAGCTAAATTAAAGCTCTAAGGACTGCTCCATCATGTCGTGGATAAAAATCCCTTTTCCGAATCTTTCAGATTGATATGTTTACTATAGTCAGGGAAACAGTGCGGCCCGCGTCAGTCCCCTATGGGAGTAATGATCAACAATCACAATAGGCCCCTGGGAATCGACGCCCGGTGTGTATTTATTAGCAACGTAATGTTTGATCGTCACTCTGGGCGGGCAAACCTCCTGAACCCGCCCAGCCTACGGGCCTGCATAACTAAAGTTTTAAATTCGCGAAAAATTTTGCATCTTGTTACGTTTGCCAAATGGTTTTTGTATGCGCCACCGTTATATTGGTCTGCGGTTATTACCTGGCCGACCTGCAAAATCGCGTCAAACACGCACAAAGTTCACACCTTTTGATCGCTGCACATGTAGTTTRATCTGTTTGATTGAGATGTGGAGATTCAGGTATGTTCAAATCGTTTAATTTGCTAAAAAGTTAGATTGTTTGCTATGAGGATTATTGTAATTTATATTTCTTGAAACTGAGATGCAAAGCCTTCAGAGTGAGGGCAAATAAAGCTCTCCAAAGCTCGTTCTGTAGGTTACTTGACATGTTGATATCAGTTTGCGCGATTTCAACGTAAAATAAGAGAATATCATGATGCTTTTTCTGCTTTACTTTAGCAATAACGTCAATTGGCAACGATAAATTAGTCCCCTTCGCAGCTTCTCCGACTTTTTGTCGTTCGTCCCGGACAAGAAGTCAGGCAAAAAACCGGAGGGGCTACAAAACAGACTAGCGAAGTGTGAATTTAAATGACGTAGATGCGTTGAAGTTTCCCGCGCCTGAGATCATGATATCACTGAACGCGTTTCAAATATTATTGGTCGCTTACTTTAGTTTCTTTTATTCGACTTTACCAACATTGATACAATCCAAAAATATCATTAAACTTACAAATTGCTTGCATTACCATCACTTCTTCTAATATTGCAGCAATTGTATATTTTGTATTTGTCATAGCTCCAGATGGGATTCTTCACACTAATAGGCCTGTAACCACGATATCCGCTATAGCTCGAATACCCGACAGCTAATCCGCTTATCATAACGTTGTTTCCTGATGTTGATTCAATAGTGACGTCATGGTTGCCACRAGCAACATTTGTTGCTAATGGAAACATGTAAGTTTCCCTCCCCTTTTGTCCACAGTCTTTCACGAGTTGAGTTGTTGTATTATGCTCGCCATCAATCGAGAAATTAGCAAATATGTCACGACCTCCAGTTAACCGTAGAATGATGCCTACAGAGTATGAGTCGAATGCCAGTTYATCAGGGACATTGAATTGTATTTTTAAAATTGACCTTTTCGCTTTCCCGTCCGGCGACCAKYCCCCGAATGCGTCCATACGATGTTTATCAAACCAAGAAGGTTTTCTGGATTCTGCAAAAGAAAGATACCTAAACCCTTGTGACTCASTCACACGCGCAATGAGTGTCTGCTTCAAAGGAGCTTTAAAATTTGACGATAGCTGGGACCAGCACATAGGGTGAGTCAGCTGATCATCACTGATTGACAGCTCGGTAAACATTGGTGTAGGTAAGAGATGGTGATCCTCTGAATATTCTCGATTCGCTGAAACTTTTTGGAAATATTTTATAATCATGGACGCCATTTCACTATTCCCCTTAATTCCAACATGAATAAAGTCTTTAGCTAAAATATCATTGGAGGAGGCCGACGTATTGAGCCGCCGTTGCCCAAAACTGTTCAGCGGACAGGCSAGGTCCTTGATACTGAACGAAGGTATACCATAATATATAGACAGCTCGTCATACCCAAGATCCTGTGCGTTCAGGCAGTCGGTGTTTGTCGTCACACCGTCTACGTCATCATAAGTTTGACTGACAAAATTAACGTACATCACTAAAGGTTTGGACGGTAGAGACAGAAGCCTGCGAGTCAAAAGYTCCATTGGCTGAGCAGCSTCTCCACGTTTGTATCCAAAATCATTCACTGCAAGCTCCAACAAAACTATATCCGGTCGCTGGGCTTCCTGTGGGAGATAATTTTGCAAGCAAAACAAAAAGAAATCGCTGGCAGTTCCTCCGATTGATGCATCATAAACTGTCATTGCAGAATCACTGAATGTTTTATTCCACCAATCAGCGACAAGATTGAAGTATTTTTGATTGGCATTTTCCAGTCCCCCTCCGGCAGTATTGGAACCACCGACTGTAACCATGGTTACTGGACGTCCATCTCGGATTTTTTCCAAGAGCCTTGCGACACCAGGTGACTTTTGACCCTCCTGTTGACCTTCGTTCATGGTCGAGTCCATTTGGAACCAGTAAAATGAGCTAAAAATGTCAAACTTCGTAAATAAAATTCAGAATTTTAATTCGGTTATTATAGATAGAGCACACTCTTAGAAATTAAACTGTGGCATTTATTTAATTAAAATTTCATACCAGTATCGAGCAATTAAGCAAATGAATTACAAATAAGTGCATTGATGGATATGGTTATGATAATTCTATTTGACTTCGAAAAAAACCCAATAATAAATCTCATGTTTGTTTCTTAGATTGCTGGTACTTTTGCCATTTACAGTTCAAAGCGAACTTTTAGAAAAAATACATACAATAGCAATGTTATTTATATCAGTTTCTTTACCCTACATTTTATATCGTAAGGTAATTGTTTAATTCTGGCTGAGGAAACAATTGATTTAAGACGTTTTTATTTGAAAACGATCCAAGGGCGATGTTTTTAAATCACGTTTATAATTGATAGTGGATCATTGATTACCTTCGTCGATGCCTCCGACCTGCTCCCTCCTTGAATGTAACAGCTGCCTTTGCCAGTACAGAAATCCCAATGGTTAAAATGCATATTGAAAACAACAAATGCATCGTGCTCATCGCTGTTCAATAACATGTACTGGACAATATAGTATTGTCCTTGCCTTTGATACGAAATCTTCAGATATTTTGTGGTTCAACGACTTTAAGTTAACTTAAACCGTGTTTTATTGAGCGTGATGAACTTCTATTTCTGAGTTATAAAGTTTGCTTGGACTKTTGTCTTAATTGCAAAGTTATTCGAAGTTTTAAGTATTTTTATTAAACTAGTTAAATTCAACATCAACATTTTAATTTATTGTAATTGTCAGTGCTCCACATTTTTGCCCTGACGTCAAAAGGTCGATACCCCTCGTAGTCATGGTAACCAGGGTAACCTATAATGAGACCGCTGACCTCAAAGACCCCATGTCCGTTCGATTCTACATTGAGAATATGGTTACCAGGGCTGGCGTTCGTTGCTATGGATTCTAATCGCGTTTGGTACATATGATGACCACATTTATTATTATCGACTGTGATAGCAGCATCTTCGTCGTCATCCAACCAGACTCTCGTGGAAGCTTTGTTATCCTTAGTTCTAAATATTAATATCACCGATCTCTTTGAGCCATGTGGGACTGTAAACGACACTTTGAGAAATCCTTTTTTAGAATTTGACGCCCATGAGCCGTACGCATCCGTACGGAATTTTAAATGAACTGCGTTTTTCTTGTTTTCCGTTGGAGAAACGTAAACGAAGTTTTTGGAATGCGTAATTTTAAATGTTAAACTGTGCTTSAGAGGGRCCTTCCAGTCTGGTGTAAGAAATGATGCRCACATAGAGKTAGCAATGTCATTATCCTGGACTGACTTTGTAAACTTGGGTGRTGGAAGAGAAAACACSATTCCYTGGTTAAAGAATGACATTTCTTGACKGACTTTCCCGGAAAGATAAGACTTAATTGCTTTATAAAGAGAAGTTGCCGATGAAGTAGGAACGGAAGCTCCTTCCGTTGGCGAGCTGGAATGTAAAGCAGATCGTTTTCTTTTATAATTTGCAAGGTTGTAGGTTGGTCTGTTGTACGCCGGAGCCCAACCATGATGAAAAAAGCTTTTCAAGTATCCAATCAGTTTTGCCGCTACTTGAAAGTGTGCTTTGAATGCAACRTGGGATCCATCTTTGTTGAACATGCCTTCTTCAGGGCTGATCAGTTTACGTTTACCAGTGTTGGTAAGCGGACATACATAGTCACGCAAGCTTATAGAAGGAATTCCATAGTGTTTTGCTAAATCATCGAATCCCAAGTCTTCCATATTATTACAATCGATGTTAGTGATCTTGTTTTCATAAAGACCTCTTTCTACAAAGTTAATATACATCACTAAGGGCCTGGACTGAAGCAACAAAAGCCTGCGAGTTAAAAGCTCCATTGGTTTAGAAGCGTCGCCATATTTATATCCATAATCGTTGATTGACAGCTCAACAAGTACAATGTCTGGCTGTTTAGATGGTAGAAAGTTCTGGAAACAAAATGAGAAGAAATCACTTCCGGTTCCTCCAATTGCCATTTTGTGATTGGTCAATTTAGACCYYGTCATTGGATATATATGTGTATTCCACCATTGCGCAAGGATATTGTAGTACAACTCACTCTCCAACATCACCCCTCCCCCTGCAGTATTTGATCCGCCTATGATGGCCATAGTCAGCGGCTCACGACGGGATACTTTATCAAGAAGGCTTTGTACTGGTGAATTCTGGGAATGGCTTGTGGGATAGCCAATTGGTAGGGATTTAACAGAACTGAAAGATGAATAGAGTAGATAAATTGATCAGCGAATCAAACACTCTCATTACACGTCTTTACAGACGAGCAACTGTATATATACAACAGTAATAGTTCTCATACCACCATGATACAGAAACTTCATAACAAAGACGGGAGTACATTTTTTAATAACATGTTGTAACGCCCTCGTTATTTTGTAATAATCTCTGACTTACCCACTCATATGTTTTCCATCTGCCTTGACCACTTTTAATTCACCCAAAATAAAGGAACAAGCCAGCAAGAACCGTACAGTCGTCCAGGCCATGATATTGACCGATTATCAAAACAAGCGATAAAATTAATACATCTGGTATACGAACGTTTGAGCAGGTAATTTCGTGATATAACGTGTGGTTATATTGTGAGGTTGTCAGGCTAATTAAAATCCAGGTTACCTGGGAAACATTGGATTGTATAGGATCTTGTCTTATATGAAGTCTCTTGGAAAAATTCCTGTTCAGTTTTCAGGATTCGTACCCACGGCTTTTGAATTTCCAGTTGATTGTAGTAATGAATATAACGATGTGATATGACAATTTGTACCACATAGACTTWAACTATAGCTTGTGTTTTTCGTCTGTACCGTGAATACAACAGCCAGGAGGCCGGGCAGGAAACAAGCTACTTACAGTGACTGATMTCCCTGAAACACTTCTTAGAGTATTTTGTATCATGATACTCTAATATTTTGGTTCTCTATTGAATATCACGCTCTATTAAATACATTTTGTTTCACGTACTCAAGAAATCCACTCTACGAAATAATTCATTATGCGAACAGGTCATCATGCCCCGTTAACTCGTGGATAATATAATGGATTCTAACTCGTGGAGGATTTGAAAGTGTGCGACTATATGGAGCATTTTTTCATCGCAGAATTCAAATCGCGCTTATGATTGGTCGGCGATAATATGGCTGGAGCGTTTTTTTGAGTAAAGATAACAACAATACAACGGCAATTGTCTCATACTCACACAGTTTAAAATTGGTCATAAATTGACTGAGAATATAAAGGGCTACTAATGAGCTTGCAAATCGCTAAATTATTTCCAWTACTTACTAGCGACTTAGATGCGATTCCTCTATAATAAACAGCAAACATAGTTATTTCTACTGTTAACTCATGACAGCTAGATACTAAAATGTTTACAAAAGACCAGCTTTGAACTGACACACGGAGGTAGTTTTAACTGACATGTACCTGATTACCGTAGATTTCATTGAACATTGATTTATATAATGGACATCGTCTGTTTTTATTCTCCRGAATTTTAAGTAATCAAACTTGATCAAACAAGCAAAAGTCGCAAAAACACCTCAAAACTGTGTTATAAAGGTTTCATCTTAGAGAGTTTGCAAAATTTCGCGAAGGAATAGTTTTTTTACCACGACGYGCCGTCTGCTACTTTGGTTACTCGGTCAATCCCAGCTTTTTTTCCGAGTATATATTAACTTTAAGTTGTTAATTATACGTCTCCATTGTCCGTTGTCATAGTTTTTAACGTATACTGACACAATTAAAAACAAACTGGGGATAACAATGGCTTCTATCTACACAAATAGGTAAAACCGATTAAGATGTGTAAAGGKGCTACTATCTTTCAGGATCGTGAACAATAACTAAGACACTCTTATACAATGTTATAGTGCACCCTAAACCAATCATGGCCAAGGACGTAGTTTCATCTCTGTTGCCTTCATCGACTGAAAGTTATTTGTGATTGTAAGCCATACGATTCCGTTTTGATCTTGTTTATTCCCAACATATTTACCATTRAGRTTTACTTTGTAACACTTGTTGTACCACCATGCGCCATGGTATCCTACAGCGCAATTCGAGGCTACTTCCTTGTCATTATCGCGATCTTTTGTGGTGAATTCCMTTCCGTCGTGTTCYCTTAACGAGTCTCCTGCATTACCTGAATACTGCCGCACGGTTAAAGTATAGTTAGAATTCTCACTAGCGACGTTAAAGATACGATACGATGCGTTGTGATGGACGCCACTCCAGTCTTCTATGTTTACAAGCAGACTCATATTGAGTGAAGYTGTCAACCGATGAATGTTGTCATTCCCTAACCAAAACTCAYCAGTCAGGTTCCCAAAACCTTTCTTGTAATCCTCCCAGTTGCGGTAGAAATTYTCAAGATAAGATCCATTTTGACGTCTCTGAAACACAGTCCACCCCCCACCGTCCGTTATCATATCACAGTAGACAGAGAAAGGTCCTTGTTTATCAGGATCTATTGAGTACACACCATTCGAAGTGTTTCCTGATCGTAGCCAAGCTAAACAATCTGATGCTAGAATCGAAAGCAGTCAGTCAATCATACTGCCCTAATATGGCAAAATGCCCTAATATGGCATATCAGCATAACGTAAATAAATCAGTTTAAAACAAGATACCTATACGTACCTGGACAAACTGGTAAAAGTGTACAACCTCTTGTTTGCTGTCCATCACCAACGCACTTGATTTCTGCTTCACTACAATTGCGACTACGATACTGCGTCCCAACTGAGCATGTTTTACTGCAGGATGACCACGGACCCCATTGTTCCCAGTTAGCAGGCTCACTGCACGCTACCTTGTAGCAAGGCTTCGTTTCTTCAGTGACGTCACATGTAGTGCATCGACGCGTGCGCCTTCGGGTTCCGTTACCGCATGTAACACTGCAAAAAGTCCAGTAGCTCCAACCTATACGATWAGTACAACAATAACTTTCATTGTTGGTGCGACTCAAAGTAACTATTTTGTAGCTAACATCAGTTGATAGAGTGCAAACACTAGAAATAGCCGATCTGCATTATGCCGTCATTTACTACAACTACCAGAATGCTTTGCCAAYTTTCTTCAATTGTTTTATTAATCTCCAAGGGGATTAATGAAAATGCGCAAGGCTCTCTGGTAGTTGTAGTATAAAGTAACGCCATAATGCAAATGGCCTATTAAATAATGCTAAACTGTACTGAAGATTTCCTTTGTGCTTCAAGTCTACAATACATTGCGCTATTTAGCATTAATTCTTTTTCGCTTAGTGTTTACTCTCACTGAATGCGTTGTACCTGAGAAAAAAGGTGTTGGAGTGGCTGTTGTAGCCTTGGAATCACCAGTCTTCGGCGTTATATCTGAAATATCACATCATAGTCATTATAACATTACTTTATATAGTATTTGGTGAATTACACATTCTACTATTTTTATTATTTTTTACACACGTACGGATGGCGCTATTCAATCTTACKCSCGCTCTGATTGGTCAAGGCACTAATTGTTCGGGTGATCCAGTTTTTAAGATTTTAAGGTCAAATTTAATTCTGACCCGCTAATCGTCCAAACCYCGACCTGGTATTTTGATCTTGATTGATCCCAGCTAASAGATMCCGATATTTTGTATGGATCCCGATCTTCTGGGGGTAAATTGATCTCAATCTAACTTRAGATCTTTGATACCATGTTCCAAGTGGCACGTCTATATATCGGAGGAGCATTACACTTGTCAGTATAGATAGATTAAGATTTAATTTAACGCATTTCTTCCCTGAAATTTGGGTTTTTGTTTGTTGCTTTTGGTTGAAGTGTTCCAGAAGACTTGATCAAGTTACCGGGAAAAATAAAGTTGTCCCCGAATTATGCAATAGCGTAAGTACGTACAGAACAGCATGTGCCTTAATAATTTGCGCACAATTCAGTCAACATGTGYAATAACTAACAGCCATACCTGACGTTTCATCGCTATTCACCAGGACAAGTGGCACAACGATCGCCACTACTATCAAGGTCACCGCCAACAAGATCAAAATCGCCACCAAACAATTCCTTCTGCGCTTCTTTCGGCTTTCAACCGAYACCACATGCRGTTGATTTTGATCTTGCAGCTCTAACGGCTCAGTAATAATACGYTKYTGYTGCTTGTCTTCCATCCGTTAAAGATGTTCTGCCAAAGCTTGTCATAAGTGTTATCGTGACGTTATTCGTAGTGAAATTAAATACCCAATTTGTACAAGGAATTTATTTTTGACAGATGGAGCTCACATTAATGAATACCAATAGTAATGACAATAAATAAAGATTCACCTTTGAATGATTAAATATCGAAATAAGCCAACAAACTGCTTTTTACGGGTGTTAACTCACTAAAAGTATTTGCTAATCTTTCGCAAGTTGTAAGTGATTTATTAGAAAGGGGAAAAGGCCACTATAATCCCCGGTATATCAAAACTATCGCCATCTTTTAAATAAGTTTACACCCCACCGATAACCGCCCTTTATGCTGATCGAACTTTTAGCGCAATCAAAACTCGTCAAATCGAAGTGATTCAAAAACTCTTGTAGTAGCTCTACTGCTACGTCTTCTTGTCTAGTAGCGGAGGATAACTAGACAATGTTTTGATGTCGGTAACTTATGGGGAATCAATTCCAGTTTAAATGATGACCCTCACCCTCGTCCAAGACGCCCCCAGAGGGAGGTAGTCATCCGGTCAGGGAATCAAAGTCACGAAATGGTCGCGGTAATTATCACAGTSGGACGGGGTAAATATCACGCAATCATCATGGTAGGTATCATGATATAATCAGATCCTATACTTCAGGTCGGGTTGTTCAAAGCTCAATTAGTGCTAACCCCGGATTAACTCTGAGGCTATGRACATCAGCCATGTAGGATTAACGCCAATCAAGCTTTGAACAACCCGATTTAAGAAAACTTAAGCTTATATAAATGAAACGCCTCTCCAATGACGCACCTTTTTATTAAATGATAAGCCATAACGAAAGTAAACAATCTTGCGCAAACACAGTTTAATAAGTTCAATGAAGTTCGGCATTGATATTGATCGTTAAAATCACTTAATGCTGTCAGTGTTCAGTGGTACGAAAACAATTTCTTTCCTCTCTCTGAAATGAAATGGTTTTATTCTTGACATTTGGAATTCACAATATCTTAATCTTACAAATTTCCATCGGCTATATTCATCTTCGTAGTAATACAGGTAACGCAATGCTTTTCTTGCAGCTTAAAGCAATATTGAACATGCTCATTTAATTTTACGACCTTAATTGTCCCTTTGCTATTCTTCAGGCCTCTGTTATGATAATTATCCAGTGCCAACTTCTTCTATTAATCGCCATCATCATCATCATCATCATCATCAACGTTAGCCCTTCCTTGTTCATTAATCAATGGAGAAAAGAAAAAGTGTACAGAGTAACGGGCAGCCTGCTTCAGTCCCGCATACATGTCATCTTTCTCTACAGATAAAAGTTTCTGGGCAGCAACACCATCGATGTAGAGCTTTTTTAATGATATTTTGAGCGCTGATGATCCTAAACCGTCGGTGATTATACCTTTGACAGTAACCTGCGTAGTTGAAGGATAATATGGAAAAAAAGAAAGAAAAATGGATGAGTAAACAGTTTTTCCCTCATTGGCAAACGAGAAACGAAAAATGACTGAATGGTGAATGGATAGTAAATGAAATTCAGTGACAATGAACTTGGAAAAATGATCTCACCGTTGTGTTTTTCTTTAGACTCATCATGGTTTCATAGTACTTGTGTGTAACAGTCACTGTTGATCGAATGGTGCCATATTCTGATGTAAATACCACACCCATTGAGAAAGTGTACCTATCAAATGACTTCAGACTGCAACCAATGCCAGACTTTTGCTTGAATATCCAACCTGTTGATATTGCTGGTTTAATGCTAACAAGAGACGACAGAAAACTGTGAGAATTGAGTACGTCCAATAACATTAACAAAATGAACATTACATGTGAAATTTTTTCAAAACTCCAGTTTCGAAACTGGAGTATTTCTTTTAGTTTTTTAATAATGATTAAGATACTAGTAATGTACCTCTTTAAGTCTTGCTGAATCTCTTTCCCTCCAAGGAGACACCTCAAWGTTGGTCGAAGTACTTTCGGCATTGCTGTTACTAAAGCACGGAATCGATTATCAATTGAYGCCACTTTYACYGACGTCACACGTCCAGTCCATYTGATAGACTCCCCAATGTAATCTCCACATTTTGCTTGCAAAGWAGCTTCAGTRTGCTGTGAGAGTGCTTTAGGACCACATGTAGYGTCGTAATATTCCCATTTTAATGTTGTCTTATCTGCTCCTTTTTSAGGGGGGACRTAGTTGACATACAATAAMGGACCTARTGATAAAATATAATTGTGTTGTGAGAAACAATAGTCTTCTTCACTTTGCATCGAAGCAAGACAACTGTGGATTGTGCAATGATAGAAACCTTGTTTCACAATTTTTTAAAGGAATCTRTTATTGCAYGCTCAAYRGTTGTCTTGCTTCAATGTAAAGGCACGGCTACCTTTCAAGATGGCGCAGGGAATGAAGGAGACTAATACAGCTTTTTTAATCACAATTGATGCTTTCAAAAGGACAAAAGACTGATTTCCATGTYGGTTTTATGATATTGTCATTAAATGAGCAAAATACCTAAAAGACAAACTACTACCACAGCTACAACACCCAGCACATAGTTCCTCTTCTTTCTAACGTCTTTTGGTAGATCCACATTTGAGTAAAGAACAAACACCGACGAGACACCAATAACCAGAGCTGTCACGGCCAACTTTGAAGCCAAATCTATGACCAGGAACCATTGCAAAAAGTTTGCTAAAAACATGCCCACTACATACACRGCAAGGAGAGGTAARATGGTTATAATAATTAGCCATCCAATAGAAGCACGGATAAGACTAAACCATGTTGTATACATCAACAGCTCTGTAAACATCTGCCACCAAAGTAGACACACAATGTGAGGTATGAGAATCTTATAAATGCCTTTCCACGAATGCCGTCCTGCCATGATGACCAGCATAATAAGAATGACCATGTGTAGAATTCCTGGAATGCTGATGTGAAACTCTAGCTTGTACGGAAGTTGAACTGAAAGTAAATGAGGTGTAATTTGAAAACATTACATTACTTACACATACATCTCTACTAGATTTTAATGGTTCAAATCTTTTGTATTGAAACTAGGTATAAAATTCTGTATGGCAAGTGACAAGCTGACAATTGCTGACAACCCATATTCTATATAGCTTTTACTTACTTGTTAAAAACGTATGACATAACACCCACAGTCCTTTGACATCACTGAAGGATTTTAGAACCATAGTAAGAATTTTAAGCCCAATTGTGTACATGGTGAAGTCATCATACTCATCTGGCAGACCTCGAAATGCTGACACTGCAAATTCATAATTATTACAAACTTTAACGAAACATCAGGCGAATAAAAAGATATCTCCACATGAAAAAAAAATATAAATCAAGATTAATGCTACATTAGATAGTTTCTCTCACAGCTGTTGCTACACTGTAATATGACAGCAGAGAAGATATTTCTTTGAAAAATCTTATGAATCAAAACCAATTTCTATCAATTTGATTACCAGTGAAGAATAACGCTATAAGCGACAGCTCTGAACATGGAATCCAGTCTTTGTCACAAAGTGGGTAGACAGCAACAGCCACAATAATGAATACAAAAAACCAGATGTAAGGTGTTACAGAATTCCAAATGAACTTTGTATCAGTTTCTTTTGAAGTGATCTGTGGGTCAAACCTGAAATATCATGAGACAAACTAACTTAAAATTTTAGCAAAGAAATTATATTAGTTACATGGAGTACTGCTTATTGCAAGGTACAGTGTTTTCCATTGTTTATCTTCACGTCATAAAAGCTTTACAATACAACAAGTTTAATTTCTACGTACTTTTTTAACAGATTTGAAAAGTTCCTTAATTTTTTAAGGGACTGACGACCATGAAACATTTGTAGAGAAAATACAACCAGAGCTGTCATTGAAATGTAAAACATCACAAGAGGAACAAGAAACCATAACATCTTTGCTGATAACTGATGGTAGAAGTACAGCAACACCAGTGTTTGGATGTGTGTTGTTGGTATAAGGGATTTCAACCATGTGTTGCCCCTTTTGCTTATTGTCGTCAAAGCGTAGAACTTGAAYGACTCCAAGGACTGGTGGGGGTATTTTAGAATCTAGAAAATAATGTTTTTAATGAAAATACATATTAAAACAGTCAACAGACTTGATTTCCTGAAATGTGTCTGTGATGGTAGTGGATTCTTTTTCCTGGAAATATGTCTGGAATTGTAGTGGTAAGTATTAAGTGTCCTCAAGGTATAAATGTTTAAACAATATTAGAATGTCAGTGATTGAGTCAGTGTTCTTAAGGGAGAGAGAAACTTGCAAGGAGAAGAAAGTTAGTGTAGGCTGAAATCCAGTAAATCTAAATGAACAGGAATAGGCCATTTGCATGATGACGCAACTTTACTACAACTACCAGAAAGCCTTGCGCATTTTCTTTGTTATTCAGATTTTTAATCCCCTTAGCGATTAGTAAAACAATTGGCACTAATTGCATTACAAAAGAAAGTGGGCAAAGCATTCTGGTTGTTGTAGTAAATGACGCCATAATGCAAATCGCCTATTATCATCAATGAAAGAGTTTACCTTTTCAATACGTGATGYCTTGTTATATTGTTCTATTTCATCTTTGTCCAGGACCATGACCATTTCAGGGATATCYCCTTTAGCATACGACATGGCAGAGTCCAAAAACTCAGTCAAAGTCAGCTCATCTTTACCACCAATTGACATGGCAGATTTTAGAACACCCATCAAACCACCAATTTCTTCTTGCTTGGATTTTTCTGATGCCTCAGTAGTAGAAATTACTTCTTTTTCTTTTTTTGCTGCTTTGAGTGCATTCTTGATATCTTTAACTGTTATATTTTGTTTTCCTTCTTGCTTAAGTGACATAAAGAGTTCAGTCATAGCGTGATTCATTCTCTTGTCAGCCTCTGATGTCTTAACACACCATTCAACACTAGCACGGTTATCGTTTGTTATCCCATTCCCACTTGCGAGGCACTGTGCTAGAATTTCAGTAGCATYCTCATCACCAGTTTTGGATATATCAATTAAGATTTTTATTGCTTCTTCTTTTTTACAATCTTCATGTAACAACTCTTTAGCTTTGCTTATGTCTGTAGAATAGTTTTTCTTGCTTTCTGATGCAAGTATGTCCTCCATTTTATCTTGAAGAAGGCTTTGGTAAGAACTGCAACAGCAAAAAATAATAAAAACAAAATTATCACGAATTGGAAAAAGCAGCGTTAAGTTAAGCTTAAGTTTTACACAAAAAAGATCTTTCCATCTGTCCACAAAATATATCATTTATAATACCTCATCTTGCGGAAAAATAAAAACAACTTGCCAAGCAATAAAGAGCATTTCAGATACGCCACTAAAAGTAAGCGTTAATTCCGGTATGTTTAGCAAATAAGCATGACGTGCTCGTTCAGAAATCAGAGTGCAGAAATCATGCAGCTTATTGGAGAGAAATTGCTGGTGGTATAACAAGCTTACCTKCATAAAATCGGCTTCAAAACCACAACTAAACTACCTCGTTAATTAATCTTTAAACAATAGGAATTATATATCATATAAGCCTTTGCAAAAAATACCTTAAATGGCGATTAAATGATAAAATATGGATCTACTTCTTCGGTTATAATATTTTATGTTTTGACATGTGACCGAGGGGGACTATGTACTTTGTGTACACAGGGAACCCAACAGATATTGAGGAGGCGACTGAAAGCCTGATATTTACAACTGATTTTTCCTTTGCATCAGTTTTCAAAAACTCTCTCTTGCAAATATAAATCGTGGAGCTGGAGCTTGACAATACTTCAATAAATACAAAGAGATCATCAAGGCCCAAAGAAGTTCAATAACCAAAATCTATTAGTTTTTTATATCTTTATTCATCAGATTTACATAATTACAAAAAATAATAATAATTTGGGAAAACACAAAAGATAATCCATCCTGAACTAGTAAATACATCAGGATTTGTTTACCGAGTGAATTGAACTAAAGAGTGAAATGCAATAAACAATTTTTCTAAATCACTATCATGAGTCACAGTATCATGCACATTTATTTACTCATGAAAAAATCACTTRAACATGTAATTTTTTCATGCRWACAATMTACCACCCTGTATTGAATGCGAACAATATACCACCCTGTATTGAAGATGGTGTAAGTATAATTACTATAACAGTGTTTTTCTAGATATCAGCAGTGATTAATCTTTGACTCAACGGTTGTCTTGCTTCAATGTAAAGGCAAGGCTACCTTTCAAGACGGCGCAGGGAACCGTCAAGGAGACTATTAACATATGGCTTATGCCATTTTTAAGACTCAAGTGCCACACTCTGATTACTATCCTCTTGCAGCCGTAATGAGCCTCTTTCCCAGGGAGAGATTTTGTAACCAGCCTTATAACAGCTTTGAGAGGAGACTTAACTCTGATAAAGCACAAAACTGGATATTAAACTATAACCTAAGAAATAACTTTAGAGTTGTTATGCTTAACTGGTGAAATAATTAGTCTATAATATGATTGACTTTCGTTGTTTCAACTGGAGTATTATATACTGAGTGTGTTAAGTTGTTCCATGGTTTAAAGTGTACTGCCTATATAGTAGTGGTCATTGTACAAACTAAAATAGCACTTAGTGTGCTTCACATAAATTTTTCAGGATTACTTCACGTAGAACCAACTTCTAATTCTTGGCTAAATGTGTGTGATCATATATTTTTAGCTATTTACCTACAGTTTTTCAATTAATATCAAGTGTTCATTAACTTTTAATATTAATGGAAAATGGACAACCTTTGACAAGTCATATTGKTACAGAATTGACCATTTTCTATTATTATTAATTAATAACTAATTGCTATATTTACAGTTTGTTGATATAATATCATATCATGTACGTCTAGTGTCATACTACAAGAGCTTAAAACCAATTAAAGAGTGACCTATTAAACCTTATTAGAGGCCAATTCCATCTTTTGTTTTCTTTGATTTTTATCATGAAACCACTTTACCTTCACTAATAGATTTTGTTGCAAAAGTTTAAAGTCCTCATTCTGCAATTAACCTTAATAACCATGACTTTGTTCTGTCACATGATACACATGTTATAAGTAAAGCAATAGCCCCATGTATAAGAACCTGAATTTTYCAATTTCACTTGAATTGGTGCTTATGAAGAACTTAAACTTACTTTAGGTTTACCAAGGTTCTTACAATTGGTTCTCATACAATATGATCKTCAGGGTTTTTTACCGTTACTTTTACAGCAACCCTACTAATAAGAAACTTTTAGTCATAATAGGTCCTCATGTGGAAAAAGCTTAAAATAAAATTTAAGCCTAACAGGTACTTCAAATCCAGCATCTACACAGGTTATGGTGAGATGTTACGGCAACCACTGATAAATTGACCACTTATTTGCCAATCAAAGTCAAAAGCTTACATTAGGCCAACAAATAGAACCAATTGAGAATGAAATACTTCTGGTATATAGCACTTAATTTATCAACAGAAAAGTAGGGTAACTAATTTTGAGCTTGACTATATCATCTATGGTCTGAAGGACTTAGAATTGTGATTTCAATCTAAAACTATTGTCAAGGAAACTATATACAACCTGCAATAATGCAGGAATGGGAGAGAAAGAATGAGAAAAAACTATGAATTGACTGGCTGTATAGATCCTTGTGAATTGTGGATGAGAAAACAGATGAGAAGTGGATAGATAGATGGTTATAAGGATGGAGGGATGATTGACTAAATCCTGGATGAATAAGTAAATAAATGTATGAATGAATAGGCAGATGAACTGATTTGTAGAAAGAAAGACAATGATTAGATGCATGTATAGATGAATGGATGAAGATGTCAAAAATGTGGACTATTATCATAAAGAGGATACAACTCGGAGACCTCTCTCCATGGGATGGGTAATCATTAGACCTCTTGGAACAAACACATTTTGATTCTGTTCTGTTATAAAGTCAGATAATCTTTTCAGCATCTGCAAAAAGGTTTAATAAATATGAATAATTTTGACATCAAACACGTAATACAGAGAATCTAGTTAGAATTTCAAAAACATTTTGCACAAATCTGACATGATACACATATTTCGTCATTAATTCTTAATGTCAGAGCTATCAAGATTAATCAATAGGGGTAGTTGCAGTCACGTTATGCTACCTTGTCATACTGTGTGGTCATACAGCTATAWATGAGATAAGCAGACAAGCAGCCAAGACATCCTTCAACATATGACCTTGTTCCAACTCTCTCGGCATCATCAAAAATTGTATTTATGTGGTTGATGGTCTGTTCAAATAATTCTTTGTCAATCTGCATAGATAGAGATTACAGACAGTGGATTTTATAAAACAGAAGCCATTAGATTTACTAAGTTTTTTTTGTGTTTATTATAAAGTCCAGAAGTTTGCATGGAACTTCATCTGATTCCTGATGTATATCAACTTCAACATTCAATTTTTTGTTAATCTATCAAAGATTATTATTTAATCTATAACATTGGCRTTTCTGCTTTACTAGAATTATAATAATGATAGGGTACATTTACATGTAGGAAAATTAAGATTTTGTGTTTTAAATGTGATACTTTAAGAGATATCTGAATAATTTTAAATGCAACAAATGGACAATATATATAAGTTAGTACTATAAGCTTTATGTCCCGTGTCATGTGTTTAGGTATTAAAATCTATCATATTCAATAATTTCTGCTTTGATTAACAGAAACACAAATAATTGAATATAAGAGATAGTAATAAAGCAAAAAGTGAGAATCCAGGGGGGTGGGGGATTATACCGTAGCTAGATACTAAACAGGCTACAACTTCTTAATGGGTAGACCAAGTTTGTACTCTAATCAATATGCACTTAGTAATAGTATAACAGAATTGCGTATGTTAATGTAGTCATAGTTGAGGCAGCAATAGTGACTGTTGCAGATATGTCATTTGATGGAGAGAATAGGCGATTTGCATTATGGCGTCATTTACTACAACTACCAGAATGCTTTGCCCACTTTCTTTTGTAATGCAATTAGTGCCAATTGTTTTACTAATCGCTAAGGGGATTAAAAATCTGAATAACAAAGAAAATGCGCAAGGCTTTCTGGTAGTTGTAGTAAAGTTACGCCATCATGCAAATGGCCTATTCAGGGCAAAACCAATGTTATACAATACATGTATAAAACAGTTTTTCCTTGATGAATACCGAGCTTTCTTGATCGTCCCTTTGATGTATTTCTTGCTTTTTTGTTTGCTCAAACACTTGTTAATGGTGTTTGTACTGTTTTTTATGTTTCATTCTTTTCACCTAATATTGCTATTTCAATTAATTCTAGAAAATACGTAAGTTAAAACTATAGGCTTGTCCGTAAGTATATATTTTGTAAATCATTACGTTGTATATCATTACCTATCATGATCTGGATAAACAAAATTACAAGTCATTGAATATAATAGATAATAATAAAGTTACACTACACAAATATAGACTCCAACGCATTCATTGTGCTCATAAAGGTTATTTTGAGAGTAAACATCACTAGAAAAGCTAGCCAGGAAAGCGAATTAAAATTAATTATAAGTTTGTTGATTGGTAGTATAGGAGCGAAAACACAGAAAACATTAAAGCTAGACCGCGAAAATTTCCGATTATGGCAACTAATTGAACACATAAGCCATGAACTTACCCGATTTTTTAACTCTGTTGGGAATTTATTCTGAAAACGACAAGCTGTTCCTCTCGAATAATCGCGTTGCAAGTAAACTTTGTTGGAGACTCGAGCATTCTCGTCGACATGATCCTGATTTTTGTGGGATAAAATAACATAATGCCACATTAAAGCCACAAGAAACACCCCGGTAAAGTATAATAGGTTTCAGTGTTTAGAACTATGAGAAAACTAGCTTATTTTAATGCAAACAAAGGGATAAACACAACATTTTTCCTCACCTGGGTGGGCGCCATTTTGCTTTGATCTTACCACTTCCAAATAAGGAATGTACTTGAGTGATGAGAAGAGACTGGGCACTAAACAGTAAAAAAAGAACGAAAAAAAAAAAAATAAATAAATGAATAAAGGAGAGAAGGGAAACCCTGTGAAAAAGGAGGGAAAACAGCTGATTGTCCAAGGTGTGAATATATTATCATAGGATAGGCATCGAAAAACTGAAACTGGAAAGACCCTGAGCAAACGGAATTATATGAGAAATAATAGAAATGTTAAGAGTTGAATGTTGTGCGCTCTTGTACGAAGTTAAAAAAAATTAAACGACAACTTCCACTGTATAATTGGCTTTTCCTTTGTTTTTGAATATCTTGGTTAAAAACTTAGCAATCAATGAGGAACAGTTTACAATTTAATAAGTATTTTCCAGTTATTAGAAATAATTTGTTTTGAATAGATAGGTATCAGTTTTTGATATTTAGAAATCAATATGTCTAAAGGTGCAAATTGCAGATTTAACAAGAACTTACAAGAATCGTTGTCATTTTTCTTGTAATTGATAAGGAATTTACGAATATGCTTCGGATCAATTTTTAGAGAGTACTTGTCTTGACTCAAATGCAAGAGTTGTGAGCTACAAAAAAATCAAAGAACTAACCTGTCAAGAGCTTGGCACTCCTTGTTTTTTGGCGCCGAGATTTTAAACCTTTATTTCCTTCTAGGACTTTTCCATATTTGGCTATGTTACTCATATTTGGCATGTTCGGTTTTCACAATGTGACGTCACGATACCCGCTACGTCGAGGCGGCGAGTGTCGTCCATGTTGGATTTTGCGAAGTAGAATCCATGTAGTGATTCAATCTGTGGCCATCCTGGCCAACAATATTATATTCGTTTATTTTTAGTCGTCAATTCAATAGAATATATATTTTCCAGGTCTCTTTCATGTGCATTTTCCCATTGAAAGAATGGCAGTTGGTAAGTGTTGTAGTTTTGTCCAACGGAAGTCCTGTAAAATTCGTACTAAAATTGGGTGGGCTGACCTTGATAGCATATTTTTCCCGCAGCTAATGGAGAAGTGCAGTGGTGCTTTTCCCAAGTAAAAGGGACCATAGAAGAAGAAGTGTCCGAAGGTAAGATTTGCATGGTTATATTGCCAGAGTGTAGTTACTACTTTTGTACAAATGTTTGTCAAATGTCAGTGACAGAAGACCTTCAGTTCTGTCTCTGATCGGGACGGAATTTAGTGGTCGTCTTATACTTCTGTTTTAAAATCTAAATTAGCCATAAGGTGCAACTTATAATGTGTATTTTGCTTGCTCTATTTCAGCGGACATCATTTCAACAGTCGAGTTCAACCATGATGGAGAGTTGTTAGCTACCGGCGACAAGGGAGGGAGAATTGTCATATTTCAAAAAGACGACGCGGTAAGTGTAATTTTGCTCTTTTTCCGATTTTGCTTTATTTTTTAATACTCTCTTTCGTTTACAGCCTAAGGGATCTCCCAGATATGGAGAATACAGTGTTTATAGTACCTTTCAAAGTCACGAGCCGGAGTTCGATTATCTAAAAAGTTTAGAAATAGAAGAGAAAATCAATAAAATCAAGTGGTTGAAACGTCAAAATGCATCACACTTTCTCTTGTCTACCAATGGTACGTAAAAACTCATATATTTAAGGAATATATTTGGATTATTAAGAAAAGATTTATTTAGCTTCATATTTGTACATCTTTTACATAATATTGTACATGAAATGTACGTAATTAAGCGTAAATTATTAGATCGTCACGTCTTCGAGTATTTCGCTTTATAATTCGTTAATATTGAATTTGGAGTTGATCTTCATGGAGAATATGTAATATTTTGTTTAACATCCCACGCAAAGCAACATTATTGCGCTGTCGCAGGATCAGAGGTTAGCGATTTTAGCTGAAGTAAATATCAGTATACGTTTTCACAATTTTCGAAAATATTATGTATTTGAAAATATAAAGTGCTTCAGTCTGATTTTCAGTTTTAGAAGCCTATCCAAATTGCATCCCAATTTTTACATATTTAAATTCATATTCTTGAAATTTTTGAAATGTAACTGACAGCATCAATCATTTTACTGCTAAAGACCTTAATCACTGTTATTTTTGTTACCCCCTAAAGCACTATTAACTTAACGAAATGTTTGATTCGTACATTGAGTTTGGTTGCTCGTGCATGACAAATCTATTTTATTTAGCCTATTTCATGGCCTTTCATATTGATGTATTGCCAATTATTTTGCAGATAAAACTATTAAACTATGGAAAATTTCTGAGAGAAATTCTAGGGCATGTAATTTCAACCTTCGAGACGATCTAGGAATACCAAGGGACCCAAGTGAAATCAAAGAATTGAGGATACCAAAATTAAAGCCCTCAGATCTGGTTGTTGAAGCCAGTCCAAGAAGAGTGTATGCTAATGCTCACACGTACCATATCAATTCTATATCTGTAAACAGTGACTGCGAGACCTATTTATCAGCTGATGATCTGAGGATTAATCTATGGCATGTTGGTATTAATGGACAGAGTTTTAGTATCCTTGTTATAAGATATCTTATTGAGAATGTATTGTTATGTTAATGGTTTATAAGAGGTTGTTGTAGGAAAGATATATCTACATTATGCTCTTCTTGACTAATTACTCAAGATTTCCCTTTGCAAGAAAGGCCATTTTTAATCTGATTTTATCTTTTTACTAATTGTGAAATGAAGAAACAAATAATGTGCCTTTAAGCACATCTGTTGTGAAAATTAAATAATTTGCAACTATATTTCTTGTTTTAATATTTCCCACAATTATTGAGCACTAGCATGCTGTATAAAAACATATACTGCTTCCTCAATTTAAGCAAACTAAAACCAAATATGCTCTTTATATTCAATCAGTTGTATTTAAAAATAATATTTGTTGTTCATAATTGTCTCTCAGATACCAATCTTTTTTACATTAAATGGCCAGAAGAATAATTACTCAAATTCATTAAAAATCTAATTTTGACAAGGCAGAACAAATAATTCATTTAGAATGTGTTTCCTTGACAATTTTCTAAGATATTGTTGATATTAAACCTACTAACATGGAGGAACTTACTGAAGTGATTACAGCTGCAGAGTTCCACCCTATAGAGTGTAATACTTTTGTATACAGCAGCAGCAAGGGGACCGTTAGACTGTGTGATATGAGACAACAGGCATTATGTGATACCCATTCAAAGTGTAAGTTATCTTATTTGTTTGTAAAACATTAAATGGACACTGTCAATGGATGACATGCGCAGTAACAGTCTCACCTCTAACGGACTTTGAAAGTATTACCTTCGAGGTAAATCATTTTGTGGTGCTTTTGACACCCTTTGGAATATTCTAGATCTGTTTACGTTTACGAGCTGATTTATGTCGCGCCAACTTGGAGTCATAAACTTGAAAACACTAGCCTAATGTTTTCAAGTTTACTCGCGCATGTGTGCCATTGACAGTGTCCCTTTAATTTGCAAGRTTGATAGAGATTAKACTTGCTCCTATTTCAATCCAAAACCTATGCTATTCATTAGACTTTGTTTAATTTGTGTGWAAGACAAGTTTTGTAAAGTATTGGCTTTTGAACACATTGTCACACACACTGTCATTATGGCGTTTACAGAGAGCAAAAAAACAAACAACAACATAACTGGAGAATACAAAAAAAAAAAAAAAAATCTAGTTCCCAATATTAATGAATCCTGTTATTGCATTCCTATTGTACTGTGTCCATGTCTGTTCATGTAAGAGCTAATTGGCAGCACTACAATTAAAATCAAACAAATCAAAGTCGCACATTCACTGACAGCATGGTTTTGTTTCCTTGCAGTATTTGAAGAAGCTGAGGACCCTGCCACTAGGTCATTTTTTTCCGAGATCATCTCGTCTATATCAGATGTTAGATTTAGCCATAATGGTCGTTATATGATTACTAGGGATTATTTGACTGTTAAAGTCTGGGACTTAAACATGGAYAAACAACCTGTRGAGGTTTACAGTGTCCATGATTATCTCAGGAGTAAATTATGTTCGCTGTATGAAAACGACTGCATCTTCGATAAGTTTGAATGTGTTTGGAATGGAGATGATACGTAAGTATTGAAATTTGTTAAATTTAGTCCATTACTAGAACTTKACATGGGAATAGTTGCAAATCTTAACAGAKAAAACCAACCCTTTCWAATGAAACAGTTTTGTTTGGAATATGAGTGTTTGATACTGTATAAAAATTGACTATAATAATTATTTAACACCAGATAAATGCTACTAATAATTTTGTCATTATGATATTGTTATGCTTATATAACGTTGCTTGTTTGCAGGTCAATAATGACGGGGTCATACAATAATTTCTTTCATATATTTGACCGTAAGTCTAAGAATGATTTATGCCTGGAAGCCAGCCGTGAATCCAGCAAACCAAAGCAAGTGCTTAAGCCAAGAAGAGTTGCTGTTACTGGAAAAAGAAAGAAGGATGATATCACTGTTGAATGTCTTGATTTCAGTAAAAAGATCCTACATACAGCTTGGCACCCCAAAGAAAACATCATCGCTGTAGCTGCAACTAATAACTTGTATCTGTTTCAAGAAGATGTAACGTCYTGAACTAATGACATAATATATGTCGGAATATGTCTGTCAGTGTGTTGTACAGACAGTAGAAGGACATCACCYGTTCTAGATATTTACTGTTCTTTATCAAATACAATATGCCATTTGTTATCTCTACAAAATGTAAAAAAATAAAATTTCACATCTTACATTGGTTTCTGGTATTAAACCATTAAGGCTGATTTACTCAACACAACTTTTGCTCAGAACTCAGAATGCAACTTATGTTATGTATACAGCATGGCTACAACTGTCATAGGACTATTAACCAATTAATTACTAATTTTTAACGACATTTGTAGCCATGTTGTAAGGATGACTTACGTGTATTGCATACAAAACTTGTTTGGTAAAGGTTTGCCATAAAGATCATCTTTTAGGTAATTCCTCTTAGATCTTGGCCATCAACTAAAGTCAATTATGCTTATAGCAGACAGCTGAAAAGGCTGGTTTGCACAAATCAACCTTTTTCTACAAAATTTATACAGAATCTGATTTTCCTGGAGGTAAAGTTAGTGTAGAATAGAATATAAATGTATTCAATAATAGTATAGTGAGGGCTTTTGTTATAATTAACCCCAAAAAAAAAAACACTAGCTCAATGTTAGTGTGTAATTCCTTAATATTTAAAGCAAAGGAAATCCAGCAATAAAGATGTACCACTGGCTAGTAATCTCAGTATGTATTTGATGGGTTAAGACTTGCGACTTTAAGAAAACCAATTGGGAAAGATGTAGACTAATAGTGTATTTCATGGGATTTGTGACGTTGTTGTACATGTAGAGTGATTTTCAATTGACTGTGAAAGATTTGTCAAACTAAGTTCATTAATAAAAAAAATTTGAGTTCCATATTTGTTTGATATGTGATAAGTGAGTATGGACACTTTTAAGTATGGAGTCGTTTTGCAGTCGACTGAAAATCACAAAATTTATTATATTCGTTTGTTTTATATTTGACAACTGCAAACTTGATGATTTAATTTTTGTTCACAGGCCTATTGTTTTTAAGAATTTCTGTTGTAATACTGCTGTAATGTAAGTAAGATTGATGTGCAATGAACTGTAGGTTTGATGATGAATTTTATGAAAATGATGAATAGTTACATTATTTAATTGGACTAGAGGGTGTTGGTAACAAAAGGCTAATAATTGTTTCAATAAAAAAAACATTCATGGCCAGATATTTYGAGTTTCCTGGTTTRCCCTGCCACTCYATCATTTTRAGTRCTGYCTTCTGTGTAGAAAGCAAATTCATAATTCAATAGCCTAGTAATTCAATGGATATCTGTAATTATATCTTTTGTAAGTGTGTTCTTTAAAGTTTTTTTCTTTTGTCAAAYCTATTGAATTGTATTGATTTCTTCAAGAAGTTAGAACTGCTTCATAAGGGCACATGTGTCGAAGAACCTTTGCAGAATTTTCCTCAAAAATTTGCTGTAAGTTTTTGAACAATGAACTGACTGAAAAGAATCTTTCAACAACAAATCATTTGTAAAACAATAGAAAGGATTGCAACGGTTCTTGGATGCATGCTGGCCTTCAAAATAAAAGGCTTTGTTGTCATTACAGCAGAAACCGTTGCATCGCGTCTTCAATGTTCAAAGGAAATTGTTTGGATTTGAGTTTTTCTGTGACTTGAGGGCAGAGCTTGATATAAATCAGCCAATAATTGAACGGGTTTTCAAAAAGCTCCACCCCTTAGATCAAAGGAAATAACAAAATCCAGACAAACTTCAAAACAAAGAAGTCGCAATGCAACGATTTTCGCTGTAAAACATGCATATTAAGTCATTCAGGTCATTTATTGAACAACACTTGAATTTTCATCACAATTTCTTCTGTTTAATAACAACATTTTTGTGTTGGGTTTCCTGTTAGGAGAGAAATCATACTCTCGGCTTTTTTTTTCAAAAACATGGGAATCCTAACATTTTTCATCACACAGTACACACAGCACCTTCAAGGTGCAAAAAATGGAAATATTTTCACACAATATGATTTTGTTCACACCATTTCAAAGTCTTGTTTAAAACGACTCTTAATGACATTGCTAAAAATAACACTATGGATGTCTTCACACAGCTGAGACAATGTTGAAATTGTTTAAAACTGTTCATGACATCATAATAAACACTAATGATATCTTCACACAGTTGAAACAGACTCCTGTTCACATTGTTGTCTGTGATCATTGCAGTCTTTTGTTTGACAATCACGGCCACAATAGCCACGGCGACAACACGAAGAACACTGGAACTGAGAAACTTTGTCACAGATGCAAAACAGGGAATTGATTTCCACTAAAATGATACAAAAATGACAGTTAAACAATGATCASTGTGCCAGAGTGAGTGTCATCAGAGATGATGGCTGTAAAGTGGAGTGTTAATTGTAACGGCTGTAGCTGAAAATAGGTTTGTTGTGATCAAGCTTCTCTTCATTCATTATCAATATCATGATAATAACCATACTTACATTCATTTGTTATATTCTTGATGATGACTGACAATGTAAACAT